ATTTGTATTTCAACTATGATAAATAATAGAGAATAAGAGAGAATCGAGGCTGAAAGTATGATTTAAAATTCATTTTGAGTTTGTAAACGACGTTTTTTTCATCATTTTAATTTAGTTGTAACTAGTTTTTTTTGCTCGCGTTATGTTACAAATTGGATAAAATATATAAAATTATTTAAAAAAACTATTTCAATTACATAGTTTGTTTTATAGTATGAATCAATAAAAATATATGAAATTAGAAGTGAAAAAAATTATTTATAATTTTTTTAATAAAAAATTTTGTATTTAACTATTTCTTATTTATGTTTTTCATAATTTTTCCTTTATAAAATGATTTATCCTTATTAATCCATGGATTATTAATTAAAAAGAAAATTAAATAAATTTGTTTTAAAAAACTTTAATATTTCATAAGATTGTGTCGAAAAAACATAAATAATAATTATTAAAAGCTTACATAGAATTGAACAAATATTTTTTTCTTTATTTAATGTTGATGAGAATATTGGTTTTTGAAAAAAAATGTGAATTTAATTTTTATATATTTATTTACAAAAGAATGAATAATATTAAAATAAAAAACTATATTAATTTGACTTTTAACTATTAATTAATTAATTTGAGTTTTTTTCCTAAACAAACAGAGAAAAAATTATTTGAAATACACTTTTAATCTAAAAATATATTTTAGATAAATTATATATATTAATCATGTCACTATAATTTAAAAGTTATCTAAATCTATTTTTCAAAAGAAAAATAATCATGTTCTAAAAATTTATTTCAAAATCCATACATATAGAAAAATAAATCAAAATTACCAGTAAATATAATTTTAAATTAATTGAATGAGAATTTACAACAATAACAAATTAAATTAGTAAATTTTAAATAATAAAAATAATTAAAAAAAACATTAAAACACAATGGGACTAAATCACAATATAATCAAATTTTGAAATTGAAAATAAAAAAGAGAATTTAAAAAAAATGACAAATTAATGTAGTAAATTTTAAATAACATAAAAAAAACTGAGAAAAATTATTTAAAAAACACTTTTAATCTAAAAATTTATTTCAAACAAATTATATATATTAATCATGCCACTATAATTTAAAAATTATCTTAATTTTTTTTTTTTTAAAAATAACAATCATGTTCTAAAAATTTATTCCAAAATCCATACATATAGAAAAATAAATCAAAAATTTTAGTAAAGATATTTTTAAATTAATTAGATGAGAATTTTAAAATAATGACAAATTAAAGTAGTAAATTTTAAATAATAAAAATAATTAACAAAAAAAATAAAACAAAATAGGACCAAATCACAATATAATTAAAATTTGAAATTGAAAAAAAGAGAGAATTTTTTAAAAATGATAAATTAAAGTGGTAAATTTTAAATAATAAAAATAATTAACAAAAACACTAAAACAAAATGAGACCAAATCATAATATAATTAAAGTTTAAAATTGAAAAAAAAAGTATAGAAAAATTGAGGACCAAAGTGTTACAAAAATACCATAAAGAGTGAAAAGAATAGTGATTTGTGAGTGTGTGAATAGTGTTTTAAATAGTGAATAAATAGTAAAACCATGTTTTATTTTAGTTTTATTGATAATAGAAGAATATTCTTGTATCAATTTTTGCATAATTCAATTAATTTTTTTTTCAATTGATTCTTAATAAGTCATTCATGCATATTTAAAATTTAATAAAATAAATTTTAACAAAAAAATTCATTCATGTATGTTTAAAATTTAATAAAATAACTTGTAACAAAAAACTTTTAATATATAGTTTTAAAAATTATAAGAAATACAATTTTATAGCTTACTAATATTCTAAATTTCTAACTCAAGACAATCAGTTAGATACCTAAAAGAATATTTTTTTTGTCTTTGGTTAATTAGATTTAATCTTATCAAATTATAAAAAATAAATTCTCATCAATCTTTTAGTTTTGAATGTGTTTTATTTTGATAAGCTAGCTCGATTGGTAATGAAAAAGTGTCTATATATCTATTATGCAAAGTGATATTCTTAAAAAACTTTATATTTATATATTCACCTCTCAATCGAAATACAAAATGTATTCATTTTGTGACATTAATTAAATACAAATGTAATAATAATAATAAAGAAATCAAATTCCTCCATACAAACACATATTTCATAATTTCAAGGACTTAGGAGTAAAATAATTTCCGAAGCGCTGAATCTTTGGCCTAAGGTAAAAAATAACGTGGAAAATCTAGGTGGCGTGATGACGATCAAGCATCAGAATGAATCCAGTGGCATCCACGTGTTAAAAATAATGGAGGGTAACATTATCAGCCATCGGATCTTATACATAAACAAATCAACTCTGTACGCTAACTTCTGCATGGCTCTGTTTTTTACTCTCCAACGACAACAAGATTTATTTAACAGAAGTCCGAAATCAAAATACAAGAATCAAAATAAAAATAAAAATAATATTTATATTTTTATATTGTATTTGAAATACTAATAAAAAATCAGAATATAATTTAAATTTTTTTTAATATCTAATTTTTTATATAAATAAAAATAATAATTAAAAAAAATAATTTTATCAAACTATAATGGTTATAAAAATAATAAAAGTAATAGTGGTGGCGGTGATGGTTGCGGTAGTGATGGTGGTTCTTATGGTGGTGGTAGTGATAAAAGTAGTTAATAGATAATAAATAAATAAAATATATTATTATTTTGAAAAAAGAATTTCATTCTCATTTCTTATTTTTATTTTCACATCTTAAACGGGAATAAAGTTATGTGTAATTTTCATTCTCGTTTCTCTTTTCATTTCCATTCCTACTTTTCATTATCATTCATACTTCATTCTTTTTAACCAAACAGACTACAACGAGATAATAAAATTTTCATTCTCATTCCCATCACTTTATTCCCGATTATCAAACAATATTTAAGGGTTTTCTTTTTCTTTCTTGCGTATTTTCTTTAATCTTGCGAATTGATGCAATGTTTAGCTTTCTTTATTCTTTAATCTAATGTTATTGGAAGGAAGTTTCATTTATGCGTCGTTTAAGTTTGACATTACGACCGAATTGTTTTTCCCAAAATAGGATACTTTTTATTCTATTTTTTCAAAATAAGATATTTTAAATTTTATTTACAAAAAAAAAAGGATAGTTTTGCTATGTAGGCACCCATGTCATCTTTTTAGTTAATTAGTGTTATAATATATATTTAATATAATAACTTAAAAAAATTAGAAACATAAAAGAAAAAAATTAACTTAAGCTCTCTTTGTTTCTCTTTTGTTGTCTTTTCTCTAATTTCTTAAAGTTCAAATACTTTCACAATTCAAAATCATGAGAAATTTTATAATACATCGGGAGTAACTATTGGCATGTACAGTAGTTATTCCATAGGCTCATTTTGAGGAGAGAGATAGACATAAAAAAAAAAAAAAATTATATCTATACCCACCAAATGTAATAAGAAGATTTCCACGTCCGCTCAATTTTTTTTATTTTCCCTCTCCTATTGCTCTCTCTCTCTCTCTCTTGTGTTTATCTCTCTTCTCAAAGTGGGCCCATCGAGTAACTACTGTACATGCCACTAGTTACGCCCGGTGTATTATAAAACTTCTCCAAAATCATAATTACTAGAAAAAAATTTTAACATATGAATATCATCAATGAAGGTGTTTTTCTAAATTATTTTGTTTTTATTTATTTAATTTTGTTAGATTTTTCTTCTTCCTCCTGAAATATTTCTGTTTGATACTGTAATCTTAGATTACTATTCACGCTACAGTAAAATCCCAATTCCACGTGCTTTCTTTTTCCCTTGGTTTCCCTTTCCTTTATCGTCACTTAAGTCCCTCATGGCTTTTCATCTTTCTCTTTACTCAATAATGGCTTGCTTCCTGTCCTGTTTTTGGATGAATATGGACAAAACTTCACCCATGAATCATGATAAAAATTAGTATATATAGCACATCGTTGTATTCTTGCTTGTGGATCAGGACAATCTTTGCTTGGACTCTGCAAATGTTACGCGACATTTGTGGAAATCTTGGGATTCGTGTGTCAGATTCTGACATGGGAAAAAGAGAAGGTATAGGTTAGACTGGGATGTATTATAAGAAGTTGGTGATTCAAGGGTGATGTAACATGGCTGGATTAATTAGCATCACTCATGTTAATATGTATTTGTAATGATTCTTGTAGGATTGTACAAGAATTTATTTCATTAATTAAAAATTAGTGAAATTCAAGAAACGCTAAAGAATTTTAAGTGCCTGTGGTTGTTTTCAACTTAGCAGCAATAATCATCTTCATTTAATATGTAAATGTAATGATTCTTATAGGAAATTCTTGCAGGATTGTACGAGGATTTAATTCATTAAATGAAAATTAGTGATTCAAGGGTGTTGGAACATGGCTGGATTAATGGATACCATTATGACAATTTTCATAAATATCAGCAGTGATGCATCCTGCAGGGCATCCAAAATAATATACAAAAGGCATGGATCACTGAAAGCAAGCAAGAGTTATCTGAAAAATGAAAACATCTACCAGCACTAATTAAATAGAAAAGTACAATTTTAAATTTTGGAGATTCAACAGTAGAACCACCTTGGATATAATATGAAATAAATCAATATTGCAAGGTATACATTTTGTGCAGTCTGCGTAGTAAGCCTGGAATTACTGTGCCAAAATGCAGGACTTTTGTGATGTTTTAGTCTTAAAAATGACAACTGATTGGAGTATTGAGGACATGTATGTCATCCTCATTAAGTACAACAGCATGGTAATTATCCTGATTAAAACTGACTAATAAGCTGAACTTGAAACATACTAATGCTTACCTCAGCACCAAATCTATTTTGTTCTTAAAGCATACCAATGAAAACATCTACTACTGATGAGGCACATGGTATCGTTTGAGAATAAATTTTTTGATCAAAGGTGGCTGCATCGTCCGCCTTTATTATGATTGAAAAACCAGCCTTGCACAGAGGACATGTTGAAATTCTTTTCCAGAAAGCCTATATGAATCAGCAGCAGCAGCAGCAGAATAAAACTTTTCAACGGCTAAAGATAAACACATCAAAGTAGACAAATGGCAAAGTTATCAAATAGCACCTGAATTGTAACAATGCAAAAAACAAAAACCTAAAGATGCTTGAGACAGTTCGTAAACATAATTCATTATTCTAGATGACAAGAGTGCCAAGAAAACAGATAAGGTACAAAACTACAAACATGACAAGACTGCCAAGTGTTTGGTCCATTATATGTGTCGCAAGTCATAACTCAGTGAATCAAAGGTCTTCTATACGACATTTAAACAAGTTTATTAATGGAAACAGAATAAAGTAAATTGGATAGGAAGAAAATGCATTCCATGTGATCAACCCATTCTTAGATGCATGAATAACAAAATCGATGACCACATGGCAACACACCTCAGGTTGAACTAAATTCTGTCCAACATACAACACGTGATAACTTTGCTAGAGTAAGTAATCTAGTAACAGATTCAAACTGATCCATATCTTTAACCTTTGCATTTAAATTCTCAGTAGCGGAGCCAGAGACATCTGCTCTTTCTGATGCAGTCAGTGCACCCTAAGTACATGAATTTGAATCCTCGAAAAAGGTGGACGATTCCAATATGTGCCCCCTTCAATATTGTCTAAAGACTCAACTGTAGAACCCCTATTGTTATTCACAGCAACACCAGATGTTCCCTCAGCTTCAAACCTATCAATCTTTCTTTTGCCATCTGTACATTTAGATGTTGATTCCAATATTTTTTTACCTAATTTATTGTTTAACATCAGGTGTCTCATATGCTATTATTGAAGATAAAGTCTATACCTTGCAGGCCTTCTACTGCTGCCAATATTCGCTGCCATTGTATGTCGGAGTTATAGTAGTGGAACAGGCTCTCCTTCCAATATGAGGGGTGCACCTGGACTTCTGTAATAGCTTTCTTGTCCTTCTGACCTGAATAATATAGTGATAGAATGAAGACACAGAAATAGTATGAGACAGACAGAGTATACAGGGAACCAACACAAGTCAAAGCTAGCATTAATTCAATGCATGTCTTTCATGCACCCATAAATTTGTTCATGCCATAATTAAAGTGTGCAGATGTTCAAGTGTGGACTGAGGATGCAATTCTTTCTGCAATTTCTCCACTTTCATGTTACAAGAGCAAAGGAACGCGATGCATAATTTTTTTTCTCAGTTAGAATAAAGAATAGTAACTCCCAAGTGGTTTCCTTAAAGATGGGTTGTTAAAGAATAGCTATCAATACCTATTTTTATTGTTATTGTTCTTGCAAAGTCTATATCTGTTTAACAGCAGCAGAATGTGAGTATCATGGTTTTCCTTTTCAATTCTCAAAATAGGTAAAAAAAAAAAAAAAAAAAAGTGGACGCTGGCTACTGAAATGGTGGGGCGCTCATGATTAATTCAGGAGATAGTTATAAATTAGGCTTTTTAACAGGTAGTTATAATTTAATTTCTAACAAGAAGGAGAAGAAGGAAGATACAGAGAAGAAGATAATAAAATAGAAAATTAATTTACGATAATAATTTTTTAGTATAAAAAAATTAATTTAAAGTGAAATGGATCTTATTTAGCATAAAATACCTTATTGTGGTAAATAAGTTTTAAGCTACCTTATTATAAGAAATAAGATTTAAAAATCTCTTATTATGAAAAAAACTCCATTGCAGCTAGCATCACCTTTAAATGCATTTTTTTTTCAAATCACTCCTGATTTTATTAACTAGTAGTAGCATTAGTTTTTATTTTAATGCCAACAAAAATTGAGTACTGAAGTTTTTTTTTCAGTTGATGCTTCGTTTTACAAGAGATAGATTTAGGTTTTAATTCTTGATAGGTTTTTGATGTGGTGCGGATTATCTGATTTTTATAGCTTTCTATTTAACATGGATACTACGTGTTACCCTAGTGAATAACCTCTTTTAGAGATTTTTTAATTTTGCTAGCTAATTGGATACTATTCTACTAGACAACCTCTATTGAACTAAGGAAATGTAATCTTTTAGCATCTTTAAGTTAATTTAATCACATCTTGCTAGGGTGCAACAAAAAAAGAAACAAAGATTCTGGGTTTTTTTTTTTTTTTTGTCTTTTTATTTTGGGTGGTCTCTCTATCTTATTAATAAATTACGGATGAAGAATATATAGTAAAAATTAATCATCTAAAATTAAAAAAACTACCACATCGCTACTTAGTTCTTTTGTAGTTCAACTATGATAAATAATAGAGAATAAGAGAGAATCGATGCTGAAAGTACGATTTAAGGTTCATTTTTAGTTTCTAAATGACATTTTTTTCATCATTTTAATTTAGTTGTAACTAACATATATCCTTTGTGTTGCCGTAGGGTGAGCTATACAACATTCTTATGTGTTCATTCATATAAAATTTAAAAATTATTATTTAAAAGGATCGTACGAAAAAATTAAAAAAAAAAATCAAAACATATATGTCATATTTTGTCACGAGGTTAGCTAAACAAAAAGTTTACAAAGTTGAATAATATAATGTTGCTAATTAGATATTGTTTGATATAAAAATGCATAATAACCGATAATTAAAATAATGATGTAGTAGTTTTTAAAATTTTAGATGATTAATTTTTACCATATATTCTTCATCTATAATTTGTTAATGAGATAGAAAGATCGGTCAAAATAAAAATACAAAAAAGCTTTTGTCAAATCGAGAATTTGATAAAAAAAAAGAGATAAAATTACACATAATAAAAATTAAATGATCAAAACAAAGTAAAGATCATAAAAGAAAGATAAAAAAAATATTTTTTTTCTAAAAGCAAAAAAAAATGACTTATAAACAATAAGACTAAAAAAAAATTCATTATGCGTGAGGTAGGAATAAAAATAAAATATGATATAATTTTAATGACCAAAATGAAAAAAAAATTCACAAAATAAAAACCAAAACAAAAAACGTTTTGTACTAAAAGTTAAAAAAAAAATGAATAGTGAAACTGTATTTAATTTTAATGTAGAAAGAATAATAATCAAATATGATAAAACTTTAATTATCAAAATAAAAGAAAGATCACAAAATAAAAACCAAAACATAACAAAAATCTTACTAAAAGTAAAAAATGGTTATTTGTAGGGGAAAAAAAATCAAATATAATAAAAATTTAATGATCAAAATAAAAAACAATTACAAAACAAGGACTAAAAAAAAATTCTACTAAATTTAATGGCCAAAACAAAGAAAAAAAATCACAAAACAACAATTATAATAAAAAGAAATTTTTTTTTTTTTTAAAAAAAGCTTAGGATAGTGAAACTTTATTTAGTTTTAGTATAGTAAGGATAAAAATCTAACATGATAAAACTTTAATGTCTAAAATAAAAATATATCACAAATAGGAACAAAAAAAGAACATAATTTTTTGCCAAAAGCCAAGAAAAAATATTTATTATTGAGAAAAAATCAAATATAATAAAATTTTAATGATTAAAATAAAAAAAGCTACAAATCAGGGATTAAAATAAAAATAAAATTTACTAAAAGCAAAAAGAATGGCTTAGCTTTAATGTGAGAAAGAAAAGGAATCGAAGAAAAATATGCAACAAGAGAAAAAAAAATTGTGAGCAGTTAATCCATAGTAACTGATGCAGTACTTTTGCATTTTCTAAAATATTCTCATATCAATATTTGCATAATTCAATTATTTTGTTTTTCAGTTGATTCTTAAGAAGTCATTCATGTATATTTAAAATTTAATAAAATAACTTGTAACAAAAAACTTTTAATACATAGTTTTAAAAATTATAAGAAATACAATTTTATAGCTCACTAATATTCTAAATTTTTAACTCAAGACGAATTAGTTAATGTTTTTGGAAGCTGATCGGTTTTTTATTTGGATCGAAGGGTATTTTCTAATGCTAATTCCACACTGCATCAAGAATTAGAGTCCCAAATCCAAGGTATTTTTTCTCTAAATGCTCCATTTCCTCATTTAGAGAGTTTTTTGAGCTCGACTGTTAGAAAAGAATTGGTTATTGGGATGTTGGGGGCACATACGTTGATTTTTCACTCCATCTACACCAACAATTTTATTTCAGTTTGTTAGAATTTACTGAAATTGGAGGTCAAGTCATATCTAGGCAATTCCGTATTGAAAATAATGGAAGACATGTTCAGATGCAAATTGTGCGATCAATGATTAATTTTATTAGATTGGAAAGGTAAAAAAAGTGAGATAATATATGGGAAATAGCATCTCTTGAAAAATATAGCAGTTCGAAAAGAAAAGGTGTCATCTTTGCTCAAAGGATATTTAAGTCAAAAGTTAACATTTTTTATAACAGAATGGCTTAATTATTTCATTTTCTTCTCCACAAAATGATGCACTTGGGTTTTTTCTAGTCCCCTGCTTAGATATTCCTCCAATAAATAGAGAACCATACAAATATCCTCAAAATTTCACCGCTAAACAAAGGAATTTTTTTTAATCAATAGCGAGTATATTGTTAATTACAATAACAAACAACTATAAACAACACTTTATTAAAACACGATATATTATTTAATAATATTAAAATAATATAAATTGTAATAAAATAAATATATAAATGTGGTAAGGTGTATAAAAATATTAATTTTTTTAAAAAATATATAGTCCTCATTATTATCATCTTTTGGCTATTGGGTGTTGAGAGGAACCGCCGACTATTGGATAGTAAAAGGGTCGGTAGGAGGGATGCGAGTCTACTGCGAGTTCCGTAACAACCCCATTACCGTATGTAATCGACTCTATATGGTTCTAACATAACTAACTTCGTTGCTGGATGGGAGCCTTCATTTTCTTGATCATATCTTCGTACTAGGTAGAAACCTCTTGAATATTACTACTAGGATACCGCGAAGTGGCAAAGGAAGGAGCTCGGTGTCGAATGCAAGTAATATTGAGACACATGACATCCGAGGCCATATACTCTCGCTTCTTCTCCCCTTCGACGGTATTCAAATATATCTTGGACATGTCAATATTTGGATATAATGAATCACCCTCTTGTCGCTTCTTGCATTAATTGCATGTGCTCCTATGTTGTTAAAATAATTATAATATTAAATCATAAATATACATTTTAGATTATATCGATAGATGTATTTATATTAAAAAAATAGAACTTTACCATTATTGTTTGTGATCGTTTGTCAACAAATGATTAATCTTTCGCTTGTGAGTGATTACGAACGGTTCAGTAAGGATCTCGGTTACAACCCAATTTACTATGCTAAAAAAAGAGACAAAATAATATGCGATATAATAAATGAAAAAATTATTTTGTAACACAATGAATAATATAGGATTGATTAACCAAATGCTCAACGTTCTTAATCAAAGAGATGGACCCTCTAGTATGCTTGGATGTGTCGGCATCGACACCACCCTCTCCAACATACGATTTCAAGACGTCCGTTGAGATTGGACCCGATACTCAAGAGTAGCCTAATCTCGATGCCATGCTTCCCACATATTCTCGTTTCCATAGGTCTCGTTACTCTTATATTTTAGCTTGTTAAGCATGTCTTCGTACCGCATCCGTGCTAAACTCTCTCATGCATCCTTAATCGGCGCATCGACGACCACATCCCATAAAAAATATACTTCTATATGAAAAAAAAAATAATGTTAGTACTTTTGTGTTAAATTAACACTTTAAATAAAATATAAGTAAATAAGTAATATGTTATCCTAAACTCGTTAAAGTAGAAGTCTTTCATCTCTATAGAGATAGACTTTCATGTGGAGCCAACAACATCTAACTCGCTCCTTGAAAATTATGATGATTTTTTCGAAGCACTTGCTTGATGGAACTAAACTCGTCGAGCAAAATAAATAAATAATAAATAAGTAAATTAATGATTTTAATATTGTAACACCCCCGACCTAAGACCTAGATAGATTATGGATGTTACCGACGTTGATCTACATTCAAAGTGCAATAAATCCAAGCCAAAAAACCTCCTCCTTTGTCATTTCTAATGCATTTGCGGAAGTGGTCATTTATCATACTTTAGATCCCTATTAAGTATGAG